ATGTTAATATTAATTTAATTCCAGGACAATTAGCGTCATTTAAATATGCTCCAATAACCTCATATGATGTGGAAAGGAGTTTTAGTCAATATAAATTTATTCTACATTCAAATCGCCGGTCGTTCGTATTTGAAAATTTAGAACAACATATATATATATATATATGTTTATTTTGTCGCGTTTAATGGGCAACTGCTTAAAATTGGCTTCCATAATTCTATCAGGTAGATTTAAATAAACAGTCTAAATGATTCTCAAGACGTGGGTATTTTGAAAAGTTTCAATTAAAAAATATTTAAACGCATGACAGAAGTTTTTAAAATTCATCACATCTCTATTTGTTCAGACTGTTTCCAAAACGCGTTCGGTCGTTAAAACGTCTATATTATGAAAAATATAAAATAAAAACGTTTACAATAACACAGTATAAATTAATTTACGATAAATTTCGGCAAGTCAAGTTACTTAAATTAGTACGACGTACGTGCGATAGAACGAGACAAGCAATTACTTGCTTTCACAAAAAGCGTATCTCAAGCGCGGGTTTTCTAATTTTTCTTTAATAACGATCCGTATCACGAATAATTTCGTCAGACGTAAAAAGCGACTCAAATAAATTGATATGCACTGCCATATTTTGTTCTTGGCATTTTGATAGTTTCACGAGTACGCGTTTTTATTTATTTTTACCATAAAATCCAAACACTTTTTTTTTTTTTTTTTTTGCGTTATTGTATACATATCGATGCATCTGTCGTCAAACGACATTGTTAAATATTTTGTTGTTATTTTTCTCGAATAAGTAAGTAGGTACACGGAAAACAAACAATATGCGATATGCATTTAATACAATATTAGAAGATATATTACTAATTCTGTTTTAGTCGGTACAGACGAATGGATTCGTGTGCACCTTTTTCCCCCTATCGAAACGATCGTCATAAGTCTTTGTTGATATCTTTATTACTTGAGAGGGTAAAGTTGAGTGCATCACTTGTACCCCTTCCCTAAAAAGATAATTATATCGTGTGTGAACTTTACTCCCAGTGGATTTGTTCCGGTGAGGAGCCAAAACGATGGCAAGGAAGAGAGACTACAGAATTAATTCTGTAAAATATATTTTATACTAAGCCGTTCGAACTGATGACTGCACGTCGTAGCCAACTTAAGATGCATGTACCTTATAAAAAAAAAAACCGTTGCACCAACGAAAGACGAATTCTTTTGATAACACACATCAACCATCCATTACATGTAAAATAACTCACATAATCCATAAACCGGTTGTTTGAAATTTTTTGTCGACCACTGATATATTTGTATATATTATACACATGATAGTATCTGTGAAGTAAAATTAATTTTATTTACCAGTGCTTCAGCCAATGCGCGTTTGATTGCAATATAGAAAATAATTAATTTCTATTATATTATTATTTTATTTTAGAAAACTAAACTAGTTTTTCACAAAACTTGTAGGTATAGGCCAGTTTCACTATACAAAGTAACAAAGCAGGTTATAAATATTTATAACTATATCTATGTTTATTTAAAATTGTGTATATAAAATGTGTATATATTTAATATGCATGCTTTCAAATTGTGTATGGCTGAATAAAATGCATACAAGTGTAATAAATACATTGCATCTGTATGTATTCTACTGACATGTGTCGTCATTTTAGGCGCAAAAATATATTGATATAGACATAAGATTGCGTAGCATTCTACGTAATATTAATATATTTTACTTAAACAGCAGTGATGAAGTTCAGAGTAGTATTTTATAATAAAAATAAAATTAAAATACATTTCAATATTTAGTATCGGTATATTATGTGAAATCGTTAAAATAGTAAACACTTATTATAATAACATATTATAAATATTCAAGTAATACATGCTCAATTTACAAATTACTTTTAAACATTTCATTCGTATCAAATATATTTGTTTGTATTAGATAATATTGCATTTTTCTTCCCGATATTATCGCCGTGTTAATTACTTACTTTTTATTTTTTAGTAAAAATAGTTAATTTGTAAAGATATTTTTTTCGCCAAATTGTTTTTGGCGAAAAACGAAAAAGGTTCAAGTTATATTTTTCCTGGATTATGATTATGAGAATAATTTAACAGAGTTCAATTTACGATTTTATGTGTTATAACACCAACAAAAACTCGAAATGTTCGAAGTTTCATAAAATAATTACTTTAATGTTTAATTTATGTAGTATTAAATCGTTTGCATTCTGATTCTATCACTAGATGATATTAACTCTCTAGACTGGCTAAGTGCTTTTCATCGTTTCACGGCATTCTATCGATTACATTTTTATTAAAACTCGCCTATCGTCAAAGGGTTAGAGTAGTGTAGCGATTGCGTGTGTGGTTGAACATCGAAATGGAAACTTCAGTATAGTACGGATAAAGTTTTCAATTTTTAAACCATTTCATCCGTTTATAATTTAATAAAAAAAGGAATTTATTATGCGTGAGTATCATCGTTTATTCGTATGCACTTCAAGTTACTTATATACTCCTCCTGTCATGTGATATTAAAACTAAAATTATTATGATTTCGCTTTACGCCCTTGTGATGGAAATTAAAAATTCGGCAACTGTGCTGTGTTCACATCAACAGTCATTGGATTGCATTTTACTGTAGTAATGAATAACGGGGAAAAAAAAAAATTATATTAATAAATCATGTAATATTGTGATTGTTGTCGAAATCGGAGAAAAATATTAACTGAATATTATTGGTCAACGATGTTGATAAACATAGTTATATATAAATATATATTGTATTATATTTGCTCTACATAACCGTAAATTTATAATTCGATATTCAATAACTGAGATTTAGAATATAACTGTAGGTCTATTTGTGCATTGGGCTTAATTTCAAGATTCATATTGAGGTTCATACATAGGCGCAACTAGACCAATAATTTTGGGGGTGCACAAATAGTGAAGAGCTTATTGACTCGTGGGGGCAAGGCCCTCACAACCCCATACCATTAATCTAATTACTCTCCACATTACACTTATGAAAAAATATCTACTAATAATTATTTCAATATAAATACTTTGTTTTAATACTTATAATACAATTTATTTAACAAAATTAAATAATTAGATCTACCTACCTACCTACCTATTTTAACATTATTTTCTCCCTCGGCCACCAAAGTCTGAACACGCCTATGCATTAGATATTATACAATTTGTCTATACAGACATATCGTATATATATATATATATATATATATATATATATTATATAGCTGGGTCCCTGGATACATAATAGGTACCTATTTTTCTCAATATACATTATGGTACCTACATTTTTTTTGGAAAAAGGCTTATATTTTTTGGGGGTCCACATTTTAAACTTGGAGGTGCACAAGTCCCCTGTGCACCCCCTTAGTTGCGCCAATGAGTTCATAGATCAATTGATTACACATTGTAAAAATATAATTAATGTACCAGGTATAGGTAATGGTAATAAAAAAATATAAATAAGTTTAAGTTACAGAAGATATAACATTCTACAGAAATTAATGACTATTATACTTTTCACTTTTCGTGATACTTGATATGATTGATAAGCTTTTTATTTAATTTAATCAATTTTATATGTATCTACCTATAAAGATTACGTGATGATAAAATCAATTCAAAGTTTCATTCATTTATTTTCTAAATTATATTTGTAATCAATTATTGTTCAGAATAGTTTAATATAATAAAATACATGAGAATCATTACAAATTTTTATTTATATTATTTTTCACATGAAATCGGTTTGTTTATATCAATACAATTGAGTTGGTGAACTATATCTTATCATTGCAAATAATTCTTTTTTATTATCTGTTAGATTTAATATTTTGTAAATTTACTATATAACCAATGTTATCTGATTTACAAATATTAAAATTTGCAAATCTATTTATCTAAGTTTAGATGATTTTATATTAGGAAAACTTTGAAAATAAAAAATAAACTTATCCCTGCATAAATTATCTATATGTCAATGAGCTATTTTAATTGCGTGATTACGAAAAAATCTTATGAATTGCAAAATATATAGAAAATATATAAAATATAACACATTTAGAAATAATTTAAAAGTTTTCTATAGACTAATAACTAACTACATGATACAACAACGATTACTTCAAAATTAGACGATATCAAATTATTTAACATATACAAATCGAATGATATTAATGAATTTAACGTTGAGTACTTATATGTATAATTCATGAGTATATAAAGCTTAACATCGAAATAACGTGAGCATATAACATATACCCTGTGTGCCGTTCTGAAGAGGAGTGATAATATTTGATTCGACGTGTGCAGTGTGCATAAGAATGGAAAACTTCAATTTCAGTAAAATAAATGTTTACATGTTTATACTACGAAGATGTGTCAATCCCTATAATATAGAGATTTTAGTTTAAGATAGGTACCCATTTGTGTTCATTTCCCTTATTAAAATTAATTTGTTGACGAGGATCAAGTGTTTTAAACCGTGATAAGATCAAACAAAATTTGTTTCGTTAAGCAAAAACGTAACGTTAATCGTAACTGTAATAATATAACTTTCTTATTTCATATTTAATACATTTCTTATAGAGTACAATAATTGAAGAGCTATGGGCCTCATAATCTGTTTAGTATTATAGTTTTGAAGTTTCAGAACTCAAAAAAACTTAAAAATAAAGTACGAAATACAACTAATTTTTGATAAAATTCATAAAAAAAAAAAATTAATTTGAAAACAAATAAATTGCCACCTAATCGGGCTGCGTTAATATACTTTTATTTTGTCCGTGTTTCGTTTCTGAACTAGTTTCTAAAATCGACACGACTATTTATAATAGCTAAATATTTATTATATTTATACACACACTTCATCGTCAAGTAGACTGTACATATACACTACACGGACATGCACACACATGCACATGACGTTTACTTGTGTATATTTACGGAGGTACATCCACGGGCGTATTTCTTTGGACACGCGATTGGATCGGATTTATCAGCCAGACGCACTAGTGTCGATCGAAAAACGGAACGGAAATAGATTTTTCGATTCCGAGCGGTTTTCGATGCGGTCATCTGGTACGATTTTTTTTTTCAAGTGCTATCCCGTTTATGGCGCATTGGACCAGCGAACAATATTGCAGTGCACAACGTCGTACGGTCCCGGTAACGACTTCGTATAGTAAGCTTACGGGTTCGCGAACTTAACATAGTTAGCACAGTGATTATTTGTTCATCCCTGTTTTCGCGAAACAATCAACGACTCACGATCGCGATGGCGGACGGTCATGTTGTCGTTACGGCGAACACGGTTGCGGTCGCATTGCTGATGATCGCGGGCCACCGGGCTGTGGGGCAACAGAACGTGTCGTTCCTGAATGGATTTCCGGAAAACCTTACGTCGGACTCCGCCATCGACGTTCAGTACACATCGTGTAAAGTCATCACCGACCGGATCGTGGCCACGGCCGAAGGAAAGTTTTCGCGCTTCTGCCACGGCATCTGCAACATAAGTAATACAACCGCGTTACACCGTATATAATAGCAATAATAGCATTTATAAAATTATTATGACGACACGACTGCATTCTTTTGAATCGTTATTGTTAAAATTGTCGCTGTTAAATCATTTAGTACAACAAAAAGTCCCAACATAGTTTTTTTTTTTTTTTTTTTTAATATTATAATATACGGCATTAATACGCATCCGTAAACATATTCAATGAGATTGAATTATGAATTTGAATACAAATTTTGTTTAGTTGCCGGATGTGTAAGAGTGTAATATTATAATAGTTTCATATCGCGAATCAATATATAAATCGCATAATGTAGTCTGTGCAGTAAGCACTGTTTAGAGTCAATTCGGGTACTGTAGTAACTATTAAACTATAACTGCTACTGGGCTGTATAAATGAGATGTACTCGCCGAAGTCAACATATTTTTAGGTTACTGATTACTCCTAACATGTCGCCAACCACGGTCCATCCTATGTGTTTTTTTCAACATGAAAGAAATCATTGGTAGGTACTGTGTAATACGATTTCTTTAAAGCATCTGTTTCCGATTTTTTAGACAAAATTTTCCAATTACTTTAATGGTTTACTCAATATGTGTCTAAATGCGATCAATTAAACACAGTGAGAAGATTGCAGTTGAAATTTTGTAAATAATTATATTTAAACTATTGCTTGTAAATATTGCTTTACGCATTAAATATTTGATATAACGTTCGTATTAGATTATTAAAATATAATTTTTTGAAGGTAAAATTATTTTCGGACTCAAGGTTGATTTACAAGTGCTATTGGGTTATAGTTGTCATGTATAAATATTGCAATTATTTTCAGACGAAACCAACGCAAGACTACACCGAATCGAAACTTTGTTAACAGCAGACATAGAGAATACGAAGTATCGATTGTTTCAAATGGAACGCGTTTTGTTGGACGGCAACAGTATAAGGTACACATCGAGTTACAGTTATAACGGATATAGTTGTGCGAAGTGGACAAAACGGATATTGTGCGCTGTACATGATGAGGGCTGCGTTTAATTTGACTCATTAAGGCTGTAATACCGATTACGAACGAGGTGTTATAACATGTACCTGTACAGACCACTAATAACAACCATAAAGACAAACTTTAAATAATTTCTCTTCGACGAGTTGAGTCGATTGTTAATTTATATAATACATTACGTGTTTGTTGTTGTTCGAAGTTTTGACTAGTGAAAAGAGTTATTTTTTATTTTTATTTTTATTTTTTTTTAAAACCCATCGAAATCGATTTTCAGCGTATTGATATGCAGAATTTACGCGCGACCGTTGTTTCGATTTAAAATATTATTATCGTTGTCGACCCGTTTTGTAGAAATCGAAACACTTCCAGTGTTCGTTTGCATTACACAGTATTACTGATTTCCGGCACGGCCGTTGTTCGTTTTTCCAGCAACGCGGGCACCAAGCAGTTACCGGCCGGGGACACCGGAAGACTCCGGGAGATCGGTACGTACAATGGCACAGTGTTCACCGCGGCGACGGACGGCGGTGGTGGTCGGCGGTCGGCCCCGGCCTCGTTCGTCTACTACTGGCGCGTAGACCTGTTCTGGCGGCTGGTGTTCGTGGACGGACAGGCCCGGAGCCCGCCGTTCTACGTGTCGCCCCGCAGCTACCGAATGGCGTTGACCGTCGATTCGGACGTGACAGCCCGGTCCGTGCGCGTGGCCGCAGTGCCGGTCGCGGGCGAGTTCGACGCGCAGCTCGAGTGGCCGTTCGTGCACCGGCTGCGGCTCAGCGTACTCGACCAAACGGATGTCGCGCCCGAGGACATCGTGTCCCGCGTCTGGGACGACGTACGCTGCGCCACGGCCCTGCAGCGCATCGATGGCGGAGGTGGTGTCTGCGCGTTCATGGAGTTCCGGCACGACGTGCTCACGTACCGGCGTTACGCGTCCGGCGACTCGTTGCTCGTCAAGCTCACGGTTTTCGTCTAGTAGACCAATGGGACCAGTTTAGCGGATTTAGTGGTGATGCAACGTGATTTAAGTCGCGGATGCATGTCGTAGATTTTCTTGACGGTGTCATATAATTATAATACGTTATGGGTGTGTAATGCTTAACAAACATTTAAACTGTCGGATGACGGATTCGACCGAATCGTACAAACGTCAAACAGAATTATAAAAATGTTCGTCGGAAATTATCGATTTGCTCGTTGATATAATTATATTATTCCGTCGAAACATGTAGTTAAGAAATTAATAACATTTATTATGTCGACCAATAGTTTTTCGTTTTTTTTTTTTACGTTTATTAGTTGCACAGTGGCTTCCCATTTCGGTCGCTGTAGACGGCTCAGGTCACGTATATAAATGGCCGATTTTACGTTGTTTTTAATCCGTACACGATTGTTAGTTTTTCATTCTTTTTCTCTTTCGAACCGGTACGCGCATTCCCGCGAAATCGAATATACACGAAAGTAGTAATTACATCGATTAACGGCGTACGTTTTACGGCTGTTTATTGTTTGTTTTTAAATCCGTTGCATCTGCGTGCCTTACTCGTGTTTTACGGTTATTGTTATTGTTGTTATTATTATAAACTAAATTACGTCTCAAAAACCCAATAAGCAGCACAAAGCGAGAACGTGGTCTTTACGTCGTAGAAACGCTGTCGGTCCGATTGCGCCGTGTATTTTGCATTTTGTCGCTGACATAAATCTTCTTGACGACGTCGGTCCTTGGAAGAATACAACGTGATCGACCGGATCACTCTAACAACAATACCATAAATCTATACTATATTATTTTACGATCCGTGCGCTTTTAATCATCATTTGACTTAGGTATTGTATTTTTTTTTTCTATATACGTATTTGGTTTTATCTAATGACAATATAGCATTGCTGTTCGTCAACGAATTTCACACCAGCTAATTGTAATTCACGACTCCTCATCGAGGCGATTGAGATTTTAATCTTCTACCGTTGGAGTCTATGTACGCATCGTTAAAAAAATAAGCTTTTTATTGGAGTATGCTTTTTTTAGCGCGATAAAACCGACAATTAGCTGGCCGGTAAAATATGAAAATAAAAAATTCCAAATGGGCTGACGGCACATCGCAAAACACGAATTTCCCATAAACCTATGGTACACTATTATGTCTCGTATATTTTCACATGTTGATATTATAAAACCGTAAATCAACATGTAGGTAATACATGCCTTTTATGATACACCAAGTGGGTATAATAATAAACGCTTTGTTACACTTTTTACTATACAATACAGTGTTTTTACTGTTTTCCCGATAATTGTTTTGATTTCGTATTAAATATGAAATATATGTGTTGTATTGTTATATACAGTAGATACAAAGGAAGGTTTTTTATTGATACGATACACTGGAATTTATTAAGATTGTAAGTCTTATTTGATAAAAAAAAAAAAAACATTCAACGCAATAATTATTATAACGATATGCTGTTTTATATTTATATTTAAATTATCATCGTAAAAGTATAAATACTTCTATTAACTGTTGATTTGTTTTCTTCTTCGGCAAACATTGCGCGTAATTTACTTTGCGAACTATAAGAATACTGAATATTATTTAAATTATGTATAAATATTTTATGTAAACACAAAAATGTAAATCTATATATATATGATCTACATATAAATTACTTAAAATATAAATTAGTAGCCACTAAACTTTAGATAAGGAAACAAACGCTTGAATCTGTTTATGATAAGCGATGAACGAGTATTATTTTAATACGTTTTTCAACTATGAACTCGGATAAATATTTTTTATTTAAATAGAAAACCATTTTGTACCTTTACCGATCATAATAACCCTATAACTCACAGTAAATATTTTATTGCATATTTAATTTCTATTTTAATAATAATTGAATATATTAATATATTTTCATTTTGTATAAATTATGGTTTTTTACAAATTTTTTAATGTAGGTGTATAACAATTTTACATTGAATGTCTTATTCTTGAATGTATAATACTCGATCTTTATGGTTTTAAATTAATTTTAATTTTAATTTTACTCTTTTGGTTAACGTGTAATATTTTTTAATTGAAATTCCTTTCAATCTTTGGAACTGTCATTATATTTTCACTTCGATAGCATACTCGGCATAGTCTTAAAACTATGCAGAACGAAAATCATCCCTCGCTTCGTTAATCAACACACAGAGTGAACACATAAAAAGTAATTATTAAAAGTATACGAAAGAGAAATTTGTGACAATTACAAATTCATATATTTTAAAATGTAGTGTGTTCAAAATGTATAAATGTTTTACGTAAAATAACATTTTAAAGACAAGTGATCAATATTAAAAAACCCTGTTCAATTTGTTTCAATACTTTTGACTAATATTATTATAGCACACGAATAAAATGTCCCATGAAAGAACTGTGTTTTGGTACACTGACATCAATGCATCTACGAAACCGACAATTTTATTAAGTATTATATTTGAAAGAAGAACGCCTTTATTAGTACCTATTCAACATCATTTTTATTCAGATTATATATTCCTATTATGGTTATTAATCAATATTTGAATACACATATTATACATCTTATTAACATCCTGCATGGTATACACTAGAAGTATAACAATATTGGTATAATATAGATTGTTCATAATTGTTTATAATTATTATTACTGCGCCGACGAGACGTGCGTTACGCCAACACCGCCCATTAGGAAAATTTGATTTTTTTTACTATCAATAATTAGCACGTAATTAGCATGAATTTGCATGACCAATTTCGCAATTTGCATGTCATCCATTTCTCCAGAATCACAAAAATTAACGGGCGGTGCTGGCGAAACGTTTCGCCAGCACCGCTCAATCGCAAAAATGGAATTTCATATATTTTTTCATAGCCATTATTTAGCACGCAATTAGCATGAATTTGCACGACTATCCCCGAAATTTGCTCGATCGTTGTTTCCGTGCAATAACGTATCCAAGAATTTGCGCGTTTCGCCAGCACCGCCCAAAAACGAAATTTTGCGATTTCCTAAAATTCAACTACGCCATCGTTTAGCACGCAATTAGCATGAATTTGCACGACTATCACCGAAATTCCCTCGATCGTTGTTTCCATGCAATAACGTATCCAAGAATTTGCGCGTTTCGCCAGCACATGACATGCAAATTGCGAAATTGGTCATGCAAATTCATGCTAATTACGTGCTAATTATTGATAGTAAAAAAAATCAAATTTTCCTAATGGGCGGTGCTAGCGTAACGCACGTGCCGACGAGACTGCCAACTTTCAGAGCGCAATCACGATATATTGTTCAGACGATCACAAATATAATTTATTGTTTACTGTTGCTGCAAACTCTCTTTGTCGAAGATTATTTTTCAAAAAATATGTTTATTAAAATGTTTGTACTATACAATTTGTTATTGCTACGGCGTGATTGAATTTGCTCTTGAAGAGCATATAATTTGTCACGCGACTGCAAGACACATCGTTCCCGTAGCGGCGACGGCGTCGTCATGAAAATGTTCGTATTCGCTAATGTGGTGAGTACCACATGATATGGAAGAACTTTTGACGCGAAATTTGAATTCGCCTTGACCGCACACGGATCAATTACGTTTTACAGGTAGATAGATGTGACGCGAAAGGATAAAAAAAAAAACCACCCCAATGTCACCCGCTAAACGTGATAACAAGAAAACTATCGTAATATTGTACCATGTAGTGATCACGTCGAACGGAAAGCGTTCTATGTACAGACCGGATAGGAGAAAAATAATAATAATAATAATAACCTAACCTAATCTAGGGTGGACGATGATGACAGCTTGCACACAAGCCACTCTGTATACGGCTTAGGGCCAAGTTGAAGCCATGGAGGGGGGCGAAACTAATTTTTCTTCAATACAAACTTAAAAATAATTTACAGCTCATGTTCCTGTTATAATGATAACATATTATAATGGTAAACTAGTAATTTATAATCTTAATTGTTTATACATTACATTTTTTAAATAAATCAATGTATTATATTGAAAAAATACGAGCCATGGGGGGAGCGAATGCCCTATTCGCCCTTCCCCCCTCAAATACGCCCTTGCTTAGAACCTCTTCACACGTAGCTACTCGGCAGTGCTTCTTAGCAGCGCGTCAGTGACGTTGAATATTTTTTCAGAAGTGCGTCTGTAGCGCTGTTCGTGCTTTTAGAAGCGCGTCAGTGACGCTGTTCATGTTTTTAGAAGCGCGTCAGACAATAGTCGTCATGCTTTAGGTTGCAAATAGCGGACCAGTTTTCTATTTCATAAATGAAATCTTCAATATTAATGTTTGCACAATCAGATACCATTATTTCAAAATATATGAGCTAATAACATTGACAGGACACAGCACTCAGGCTGATAAACAAAGACTGAAAATAAAATAATAATAATTGAAATCGTTTGATTAAACACGGATTAATTGCGCTACTAACACGCTGCCGACGCGCTACAAAAATAGACGCACGATTGCGGTCGCTTGTGAAATCCCCAATCTAAAAACACGTTCTGTCACGAGAAGCGCGATTTTTAGACGCGGCATTCTACGGCGAAGTCAACCACTGACACCGTCTGTGGCGCTTCAGATCAGTGGCTGTGGTCGTGTGTGAAACCATCCGTATTCGTTCGTATTTTTCCATTAACAGCGCTGCTAAGAAGCGCTGCCGAGTGGCTACATGCGAAGGGGCCCTTAATCTCTATTTTTTACGCTGTATCAGCATAGATTAAATATATAAGTATATTTAATCTATGGCATCAGTGTCATCGACCCGGTGCTGAACAAGGTTAATAGATAATAATTATTATTATTATCTAGTGTTATCTGTTAACCTCTAGTGATGTACGGATCCTAGACCATCGCAGCGTTTCCAAGGAAGCAACAGCAATAATAGTAATAATGTTTGCGGTACCGTTCGACTTTGAGAAAAACGTCCGCGTTTAGCGGGGGAATGCGATCGTTGCAGTACGCGCAGGAACTCCGCAGCAATTTGTATTACTGTGTTCCGTCGCGCAGCCGTTTCGATTGGTCAGGCGAAAACAGTGTTGACGCGCGTTGGCCGGGGCGGGGTGGAGTACCAGATGATAGTACGAACACGGCTGGGTCGTCGACGGGAAGACGCGCGGGGAAGCGATACGGGCGATTCGTGCGGGAAGAACGTTTGGCGTATCCGACGAGAATATCGCTGTCCCGTACCGGTGCGACACTGCGCGACGCGCGCGCGGGTGGGTGTACAGCTTCGCGCCGAGCGATCGATTTCGTGCTCACCGACCCTGCCCGTCGTGCCACCCTGGGGACAGGGGGTGGTGGGGGCGAACGGCGGGGCGAACGGTGGGGCGAGGGATGACGCGATAAACGGTCCGGCAGCGACCGACGCGACGTCCTGCAGACGACGACATATTTGAAACCGAGCGCCGTAGCAACAATCGCGTTGCAGCGGACACGGCGTTTCGGGTGAACTGTCCGAATCGAAGACCGGACGGACGACGAGCGCACCGACCACGGGGTACACCGGGAATCCGATGACGGATCCGCGACGCGATAAGGTACGTACGGCGTCAGCGGTGTGTTTGCGCGTGCAATTGGTTCCCGGCGCGTATCTGGGGCGAGGGGCGAAGGGTGAGGGGTAACAATTTGAAATGGGGAACGGACGTCGCAAAAAAAAAAAAAAAACCCATCCAGTCGGGGCAGGTTCGTTATCGATTTCGTCACCGGCGGACCCGTTCAGACGGATCCCGTTAAGAGGGTGATCATCATCACGCTCGGATGCGTGTACAATATTGTAATGTTGTTGTCGGACGATTGCGTAGCGCGTCGACACTTCGTTTACCCTTTCGGCGTCCGGTTCACGTATTTATTACGTTATCACGTGCGCACTGCACTCGCGTTGCAGTACGACGTGGCTTTGGTACGTGTGTTCGCGGACGTCGTAGACGCGCGCGTTTTAAAACCGTCCAATTGTTTTTATTTCTCGTTATGATCACTTCTCCCCGACCATGCGACGGTTCACGTGTGTCATACCATCGGATGCGTTTCGTATTTTGCTGCATTAATAATCGATAGCAATATCAATCGCATCACAAATGGTATAACATTATTAACCGCTTCCGAGTTTGTTAGGAAAAATATTTAACATCGATGGTATCGTTTTAAATCTAACTCGGACCGTCAGCAAAATTCGCTAACAACGTCGTTTTGTTACTAATAATTTTTTCCACGACAGGTATCTACATTATGATCAAGTTAAAAGAGTAAATTTAATCAAATGAAACTTATTTTTCTTTTATTATTATCATTTTCACTTTTGGATACGTTAAGAACATACTACTGTCTACTGTCCCGGTAGTTGGAGTCAACTCAGGAGTATTGTACAATATTTTTATTCTGTTAACACTATTTCAACAGTAAAATTAAATAAAAACAGATTATTCTATGTGTAATAGCTTTTTAGTGTGTACTGTCTTTAGAATACAACAATGAGATAACACTGTATTCGAATTGAAATACATCTGCGTAAGCACCAGAAAAAAAAACCTTAAACAAACTATATAAAAACAATGAGTTTTTAAAATCGATTATTATAATTTATGATACCTAATCTTTAAAGGCCAGGTTTTTTTCACTTTTAATATGCTTATAAATTTTACTAGGTACATTATTGAAAATTTGGTTTTTTTCTACGTTCACTTCACACTGATCGAATTTTTTTAATATACAACGGACTATTGAGTTAAGTATATAAAAAATACACAGTTGTATTGTTAAAAATGGTAGCACCTCTATGTATGCAGCCAAAAGACGCTATTGTAATTGTTTGATCAAAACCGGCTTTCAACAATAAATAATTATTAACAATTGTTTTTATTGTTAAAGTTACATATTTATCTAGTTGAACGCAATCGATTACAGCAATTTTTTAGTGGCTGCGTACATGGAGGCGCTACCAATTTTAACATTATGATAGTGTATCTATATATTCCATTATCAATTAACGGACGCATGCAAATCTTCAAGAAGTGTGTAATAATATTTTTTTGACTATGTTGTGTTAGTTAGTTATCTTAATTACGCTATTAATCACCATGAATGTATGATATAGGAAAAATTCATTTTTTTTTTTTTTTTTTAAGGCATAAGTCATAGATGGGTATGAGTATTTCACATTTATTTAATTATTCGTACGTCCTTTTTAGTGAACAAAATAATTTATTAGTGCAAATTATTCAATAGAAATATAATATTGATTTTTTATGTGTTGGTTATTATTACTTTTTCGTTTTGTTTTCATAATTGTGCTCCTGTAATTACCTCTCGCTATTATTATAATGGTGTACCATGTATGTGTATTATATTGCGAACATCACGTGTACAAACATCCATTCATATATACATATAATCAAAATCGTATAAACTCTTACGTTTATTATGCGTAGACAATTTGAAATACTTGGCACAATATGAACGTTCAGAATAATAATTTATGAACTTATATTGAATTTTATATAAAACATATATTACGATATTGCAATGTTCTATTCGCACGGGACATCTCCGAATCGAATTTGCCACAAAATCAAACCAAGTCACTGGACAACGATCAACACGTATACGAAAACGCTTATTAAAGCCCGATTATTGAATAATAAAGAATTAATAATAATATATTCACAACGCGCCATGATCATTTAAATAGTCAATACGTGTCTAGGTAGTGTACGTTATTTTCTGTAAAAAAACGATTTCACTGAAAAAGTAAGAAAATAATATTGCTAAACATACATGTAACCTGACGCCTACATACAATAGTGATCGTCGTTCAATTGATATTTTTCTTTTTTTTAAGCCTTAAAATATTCTGTAAAAATAACAAAAGATCGGCTACATTTTTTTTTCGTCCATTAAAATAGAAAATTAACAATCTATAACGCAAATAGTATATTATGAAGTGGAGAATATTGACTTGATAATTAGTAAATTACTAAATTGATATTGGACTACAGGAGAATAATTCCAAGAATGATCAATTTAAAACACAACCAATTCAAATTATGTTTTCTTATCAGTGTTTTTGTGTGTCTATGAGTCATAATATTTTTTTTCTTCATGCGTATATCAATAATTATTATAGTGAATAATATAATATTATAACAACTTTATAAAAATAAAATATTAAGTAAATATGAATATCGTTTACCTTGATAACCGGCTATTTTTTAACTATCTAAAATGTTTTTTTCTGCAACGCAAATTGGAGTGTAATAACATTATACATTTATAATTCGTAATTTTAGCTAAGTTTTTTATTTCAGTAACCTGTCTCGTGTAAACATTTAAAATGAAGCGTCAAAACGTGCGAACATTATCTTTAGTAGTATGTACGTTTACATACTTGCTAGTCGGAGCTGCAGTATTCGATGCGTTGGAATCGGAAACTGAAAGAAAAAGATGGAATAACCTTTTAGGTAAGAATAATTTTATCACTCTCTTTCCTCTTGTATTTATAAGATTAAAATGGTGTCAAAGAAAATTACTGTAAAGTTGATCATTGGCTGTTTATATGAGATATTCGTAAGATTATTATGAATTTTTAATGGCGAATACATCTACAGAGACATAATAATAATAAAAAAGAGTGATATAATTTAATTCAATACTTTGATATTTTTTAAATATTTTAATGTTACAAAAAGACAAAATAATACCAATTCTCTATAATATGATGCATAGGCTTTGCCATTCAGGTTTCATATAATTTGTAACCTAACATTTTTTTTTTTTTTATCTGATCTATTAAAAATTATTTTCTCCAGAGATTATTATTAATGACTGTTGAAATTATTTTATAGTTAAAAATTAATTATATTTGGGTATTTAGGGATTTTGTGTCGTATTGTCAACGGCTTAATATACAAATTATGTTTAAGTCTTAATTGACAGCTATTAACTACATTCCGTTCACATAAAATAAGGTCGAGATCGTGTTGTTATAGTAATTTACAGTCAAGACAGAGGTTATTGTCAAATATTCAAAAATGTATCACAGTATAACATGTTTGATTTAATAAAAAATACCAAATACCTAAGAAAACTTTATAAATCGTCATTTTATATTTCATATTATATAGTTTTTTTTATTATTCCCTGGTAAAATGTATACCAATTATTATGTCTAAAAACTTTAGAGATTAATTAAGAGTAAATATAAAACATGTATGGAAAAAACACTTGCTTGATTTCAGACGGAAGGATGTAATTTGTGCTGATAAAGTATAATAAAGTAAATATATTATCTTATGATGAAGTAGACAAAAAAAAATCATTAATCATTATTAAAATGATTCATTTTATACGGGAGAAAAATATAATAGTTTATAAGTATTGTAAAATAATAATAACACTCATAAGTAACTGTCACCGCTTAAGTCTTATAGTGTGTGTTAAAATTCATAATTATAACATAATAAATATTTTATGTTATACATATACTTAATAAATATTAAATATAAATTGAATATATTTGAATATTTTGTATTCATTCTATAAAAGCCGTTTGGCATTAATTTTGTAATAAATAAAATTAATAAATATTATTACTATAGGTACGTTTTTTTTGTTTTTAGAAACTGTTATAATTAGGATTTTTATGTAATAAAAAAGTCAAAATATGTAAATATTCATGTTCTTATTTTTGCCAAAGTATGAATTAAAAAACGTGAAATCTTTAACGAAAATATCGGTATTTTACATTAAGTTTTAAATAATAATTAATAATTATTCATCAAAGATATTAATCAAATATCATTGTCTTCTTCAAAATATTTGGATACAACGTACATTTTGAGATTTTAAAATTTTAATGTAGGGCGGTCCTAGTCCCAAAATTTACTTATTAGATACTGAAGGAGCGTTTAACGTTAACAGACATTAATGAGACACATTTTATTTTACATATTTTAGATGATTTTAAAACAGTATCATTTGACGTATTTTCATTTTTATTCGGATGACTATCTCTAATAGTTTTGATTTTTTGTAAACTAGCATTATAGTTCATAATTTAATTTAATTTTTATTATAACTTTCCATTCTCCTTGAATTAAATTTAATTTGTTTGCTGCATTTTTCATAATCGCAAGACTTTAATTTATTGTTAGATTTGATATTTTTAATTTTTTTAGTACTTTAACCAAGAAACAAAAATTTATGGAAATATATGCTAAATGATTTTTCAGTTCATTGTCTTATATAATATCAGTAGCTTGTGTAATAGAAATTGCAGTATCTAAAAAAATTTCTTTTATTTCTTAAACTTAATTCCAATATAATAATTTTAACACAATTAAAGACTGTATAGGTAAAAAAAAAAAATGAAAATATTTACATATTTTGTAAATATTGGTGAAATATTTAGAAATAGGTATTTATATCAAAATGTGTTAAAATATGTAAAATAATAAATTTATATTTTATTCAGGGTAAATAAATAATATATGATTATTTGTATTCAGAATTGACGAATTCGCATTCAATAAAATTATGTATTTACATAAAAATCCTAGTTATAATCTAAATTCAAATTTAAACATTTATACGCTAGCTAGGTTTTTCACTTACATTCATATGTAAAATTATTTGTATATATAGACTTACGAACACATTAAAATATATATCTTACTAAGATTTGGCATTCATTTTTTTTAACTAAAACAATAAAATGAGAACTGAGAATTAATTAAAAAATAATCAATCATTTATATATATACTCGTATTATATTCATACGACTACAACGTTACATTTATTAAAAACCAGATTTGAATTTTTTCATTTATGATTCCAGAAATGAAGTCATTACTCGTAAGAAAATACAGCATAAGTGAAGACGACTACAGAATGATGGAAGTAGCCATTATAGAGAATAAACCACATAAAGCTGGGCCACAATGGAAGTTTGCCGGAGCGTTTTACTTTTCTACAGTCGTATTAGCTATGATAGGTATATTTTATAAATACTTAAATATACTTAAAAACATATAAAATTACCAAGGTATTTTTCCTATCTTATTCTTATTATTCATATTCAAAATTATATAATACACTGACAAAGATTTATTTTATTATTATAAAAATTATTTTCGGTGTACATGGTAGAGGAACGGATCCAGAGTAATGATTAGGGGGGAGGGGTGCCATTTTATATTGTGGACATAATATAATATATAAAATTCAATAATTCTATAATATTATAAATATTACCATTTAACATAGATATTTCTTAACGTTGTAAAGAAATAAACTTTCAACTAAAAGTTCACAAAAAAAATAGGTGGGTACATTGAAAAGAAAATTTTATTTAAGAAGAATAAAAAAAAATATATTAAATATAAAATTAAATTAAAAATTATAGAACGAATTCTAATTTTTTTTTTTTTTTGTTTTTGAAAACATGTCAATATATAGTTGTTATGGAAAAAATATAATTTTTATTATTGCTAGACATACAGTAATTGATGGTCTGGCCCACACGGATTCCCCGAAATTCCCTGAGATTTTATTCCATAGGCCCAATTATGAGCCAGACCAACACTGTATACAGTGCTAGACTTTAAGGGGGACGCAGGGGGCGGAGTACCCCAACTAATTTATAGAAATGTTAGCATATCTCTACTATTATTACGTTATATTTATAATGCTTACCAAGTTTTGGGGATGCTCTTGAGGAAGCATCACTCCCATGGATCCTGCCTTTTATTCGCGCCTGACATGGTAAACAGTGTTACACTGTTTACTGCTGCATATTTTAAATTATATTTAAACATGGATATTTTTGTATTTACAGGTTATGGACATTCAACACCAGTGACTATTGGTGGCAAGGCATTTTGTATGGCGTATGCAATGGTGGGCATACCATTAGGACTTATTATGTTCCAGAGTATTGGTGAACGTTTAAATAAATTTGCATCGGTTGTAATTAGGAGGTGATAAATCGTTTTAAAAGTATTATTTATTTAATATTATATTGAGTAATATAGTTTATAATTACCTTTCAAAAAATATTATAACTTCAATAGGGGAGAGGGAAAAATCATAACAGCATATATTTAATTAGCACGTTTTAAATCGGTAAAAATACATTTGAACGGGTTAATTATTTTATGGGCATTTCGAATCCAGTTAAATATATATGTAAAAATAGATATTATTGAGGAAATTAGGAATTATGTATACAATGATATAATTTTATATCTGAATACATACACAATTAAAAAAAACAAACTGATGTTGTTGCTTATTAAAACCTAATGAAATGTAATTGAATAATTTATTTATTTATTTAATAAAAATTATTTTTATATTAAAATGGGTGTACAAAATAACGGCATACGTACAGTGTTATACATAATTATCGTTTTTAGTTTTTACCTATCCGCTATCACATATAATCTCGAAAAAAAATTTTCTGAAACAAATGATTTATATACAAACGCAAGGAGAGTCGATCTCTTTATCTGTCACAGTGCTTACAAAGTACCCCCTTTAAAATTTCTCTGAACATTTTACTGAAACGTTTAAAAATTTGTTAAAAATAATCATGCACAACAAAACAGTATAAAAATTGGCATTGCAATTTAATTGATGACATTAGGTGATAAACAGTAATCTAAAAAAAAAAATTACTCATATTAAATATAAATTATAAATTATATAGTAATATACTTATGTATACGGTTTTAATTTTTTTTTTACTCATGTTAATTAAGTCATTTACAAGTTTATTCATTTTTACAGCATACTAGTAGTTTATGAAGAAAATTGTTAACTAACAACATCTTAGAATATATATATTTATTTATAACTAATTACTTAGTAATTATATGGGAATATATAGAATGCTGAGAATGATATTTGGATGGGCGATTGTAAACTCCACCAGAATATCAACTAAGATAAAAAAGTAATAAAAGGTCTAATGTAAACTCCGCCAGTTTTTTTTTTTTGTGTTTTGTCTGTAAATCCTTTCATAGTCATCTAAGAAATTAATTTTATAAAAGTCAACCAAATGTTCATATTTTTAGTATAGTTCTTATTGAATTTCAAACCCATACATAAAACTAAATGGAATATCTCAAGTAAATAAGCTAAAAAATTCGAAAAAAAATAATTACAGTGTTACAGGATGTTATAAATAGGTACACTAATGGAGTAATACAAGACTTAGAATATTTAAAAATTGTAACGCATAATTTTAGTTTACATACATGACATAACTATATTTTTGGATTATTAGGTATAACGATTATTCATTATGATTTTTTTACTATGATTAAAATATTTAATGTGAACGATATAATATTAAATTATACTTTAATTTTTTTTTTAATAATATATCATATTAATTTTATACTTTTAACTGATTTTCTTCACTGGTGGAGTTTACATGAATCCAATTTTACCTGTTTTTTTTTTTCTGGCAGAGTTTGATGTTAGGATACGTACTTGTGGCGGAATTTACATGCGCTCATTTGGATTAGTGGTCCTTTTTTATCACTTTAAATCCTGTATGTATATTTTATCATAATTTTTCATATTACAGAGTATATGTAAATGGTAAATACCAAACAATATTATAGTTAGCAAAGGAAAAAATATAACTAATACATTTAATGGAAAAATAAGAGTTCAATACACAACATATAATATTTATAATAATATTGAATTTCTAACACTATTTATTCATTATTTATTACACTCAACGACTGAATACATTGATTTATCATGTACATAATACTTAAATATGCAGTAAATAACTAATGTGTTCAATGAATACTATTCATCTTTGAATTGCATGTTTACTGTTTTTTGATAATGTTAAAAAAATTTTAAGAAGAATTTAATTTAATTGTTAAAATTGTAGACACTTCTAACTAATATTTATAATTTATAAAAATACTCAGAAATTTATAATACAGATTTAAATTGATTTTTTTTTTTGTATTTCAAATGTTCACAAGGTATCCATTTTTTTTTAATAAACATTATTTATTAAAAAAAATTTAAATTATGTATAAAAGAGCTTGTTAATTAGTGTTCTAAAACAAAAAATCTAAAATAAACAAAAAAAAAAAAATCTTAAATTTTAAAAATTCTTTGACTTGAATAAGCTTATAGTAAAATAAAATGTGTTATAATTTAATCTTACTGTATAATATAACAGTTTAATGGCTCATTTATATTTTATATTTTATACTTTCATACATTAGAAGTACATAATATGAGTACTTTTTGTAAAAAAACCGAATAATTTTACATTGTTTTCAAAAGTATTTTTTCTTCTTAAATCGATTATAAAGTTTGTCTTTTAAAAATCACCGATCGCGTACAAACATGTAAACAATTTTAATTATTCGTCAGGGCTAAACAGTATTTGAAATGTAAAAAAGAAGAAGCAACAGAAATGAATTTGATGTTCGCCACTGGACTTCTGTCGTCAGTCATCATCACAACTGGCGCGGCCGTGTTTTCGAAATACGAGGGATGGAGTTATTTCGACAGTTTTTATTATTGTTTTGTTACGCTAACCACCATCGGTTTCGGAGATTACGTCGCACTACAGGTACTTATAAAATTCTTACCAGATAATACATTTTTGTTACTGGTTCTATATACTACCTATTATCTAACATTCACATACATTAGAATCATTATGTTCTAAGACCTGCTCTATCTGCTCTAGTTTGTAAAATTATCTCTGTGAAAAGGAATTACTTATTTTTCACACTAGGATATCAGTTCTAAATAAATAAAATATGATCGTCAGTAATGATCATAAATAATGATTATCAAATATGATCATTACTTTTTTTACATTAAAACTTATGAATCCTGAACATTTTACATCCTTCCCTCGATGGACTTAATTCGCTGATATAGATTATTATTGATTTCATATTATTTCGATGTAAGTTTTCTCTTCTATATTTTTAAGTTTAATTTGAAACTTTTAATTGTTTGCATCTCTAATGATAGACCAGTATCCACTTCATATAATAATTAATAATAAATTATCAATTATTTTATGCATTTTATTGCATATGTTTTTCATTTATATGAATGGATAAGGAAAGTTTACTGCTTTTTAATTCATTGTATGTGTAAAGCTGTTTTATAAAAACATAATTTTTGTATTTTGTCATATTTTTTAACATATCATAACACCAAATTGGTTTTGTTATATTCATAAAATTAATGTATAATTTATAAAAATATTTAAATATAATTTTACATTTTATATATTAATTTCATTGTCATAAATCTGAATATTTAATTATCATATTAAATGCAATTTACAATGATCTCCCATTGTTCCCAGAACAAATATAATAAAAGACAAGAATTCCATAGACCATAGTTAGGTTAGCATTTTACTGAATGATACAAATAAATTATATGATAGGTTGTATATTGGACCAGTACCTCTTTGAAGTAGTGTAAGTTTTCTAAAAAAAAAAAATTTAATTGAATAAAATATAGTCGTATCTGTGCTTATATAATGTATGATTCGGATATGTACTTGCTTGTATAAAAAAAAGATTGAAGTTAATAATACATATTAACTATCTACTTTATTTTGTGAAATATATGCACTGTTTATCTACATTTTGTTAAACGGTGGTGGTTATAATGAATGCTCAAATGGATGATAGTCGATAAGATGTTATTCGTGAACATACTTAATATTTATTCTTATATTGAAAATATTATGATTTTACCAAATTTTTGGAGGTACCTCGTACATAAAATTGAAATACATTTGTTATTACTAATAACTTATTAGAATATTAGAATAACTTATTAGAATATTCGGCAGACTATTCAATGTTTTGTCAAAATATTCTCGCAACTTACTCAACATGAATTTGAAATGATTTTGATTTTTAATCACATTACCTATGTACAATGGTATGAGGATTTTGTATTATTTTTTCTTCCACGTTCTCAAAATTATGATTTACGAGTATAATAAATTAAATCCTATGTATATTTTTACACGTGTACATTTATAAAGAAATATATAAGGGTTAACGACCATTATATTCAGTATAACCGTCACTGTTATTATGTTTGTAAACCGAATCAAAATCGAATTCAGTGTTAAAAGCATTGATATACGACGCTGTTAAACTTTGAGAGTTTTGACTAAAATTAAAAATTATGATAATGGTTTTTTATCATAACATGTGTGACAATTTACAAGTGTTATATTTTTTAATATTTGTTATAACTGTAAATAAAGAAGAAACTGTGAATTTTTTTCAATTTAATTGAAGAAAATATTTTTAAAATATAAGACAATTTCAATTGTACTATTGTATTACTATTTATTGTGAAATCAAATCTTCATAATCAAATTGAAAACTACCAACATATTTGATATGAATACGTACACATATAGTATAATCAAGACTTTATACATGAAAGTAGTAAGAAAACTTTGATCATCATACATTTTTCAAACATAAAACATTTAAGGAGTTAAATTGCATAAAAAATATTGTTAAATGTATTGGTTATAATTAAATTTTTACTGCCTTTTAATAATATAAAATGGATTGTATTTTAAAAAGAAAAAATTCATACGTAAGGATTTTAAAGACGTTAAAGAAGTGAAGCATTTGTCTTTAAAAATTTCATGATGCATTTTAATGGGTAAAGTATTTTTTCTGTATCTAAACGGCCAATGAAAAATCTTTGCCATAAAAGAAACGTATGTAATATATTATTTTTTTTTAATCCATATATTTTTTGTAAATTTCGCATAAAAAGAGATATTTTTCTAAATAATGGCATAGTTATATAATATAAATCAAATTTAATGAATTAATATAGTTATTTGTAGTTGTTTAAAATTTGTATAATGTGTTTATACGGACCAAATTTAACTCGATAAATACGTTAAAGTCTATTAAAAACTGGTGAAATATAATATGTTTAAGTTATATACATCATATAGATTATATAGATACTTTTAAATTTAGTACTTTATTATTTTTTTTTCAAGGCCTATGGAACCATCTTGCCATAGAATAAATCTTCTCCCATTCTTCTCTGTTCTCCGTTACATCCTTCTAATCCATGTATCTATAATCCCCTCCTCTAGTATTTAAAAAAAATTTTCTGATTCCATCAGAAAAATACTGTTTCTTAGTACAATCAAATAGGTAATGATTTAATTATGAAAACAAATACAATTAAATAATTATATAATTATTTATTTTATTAAATAAAGTGAATAAATGAAGTAGGTACAAATCCAATACTCTTATAATTAACAAAAGTAGTAAGCTTAATATCTAAAATTTTACATAAATTGTAAGATCTAATGAATTGATGATTTTAGTATTACACGTATGGTTTAGTTTAATATAACTAAAAAAAAAAAAAAAATTACAACTATAGTAACTTATGATAACATAATTGTACTTTCGTCAATGTTAATTGTTTTAAGTAGTTTAAATCAGAATATTAAATTAAGGTTCGGCTTTTTAGGTACAAAATAAACGTTTTAAAAAATTATAGTGACTAGAAATTAAATTCTCTGTAAAAATTTGTAAATATGTATAAACAAATAAAATAATGAATATTTCGACTATATGTAAACTGTGACAATTTATTTTATATACCTCCAATATTATATACTATATAGCAATCCTGGGCAAGTTAATAATTATTTTTAACTGAGTTAAGTTATTATTATCATTTGTTTTAATATCTGTATGGCTTAAAATATATATATATATATATATATATATATATCATATAGATCATAAATATAATTGAACACAGGAAATAGCCAACAGCTTTTTTATTTACTGATGAATAGAATTATGTAGCAAAAATATACAAAATGACAAAATAAATACAACCTTTTGATTTATTAAAACAGATAGGTAGGTATTATACATTTCATTAAAATTATTAAATAAAAATAACGTGGTATTTAAGAATGTAATTCATTTTAAACTCTGAATACTTTTTCAGAGAACTAAAAATCTAAACCATAACCTAATTGGTTTTTATTTAAAAATAATTTATTCATGGCGAAAATATTTTATGCTCTTGAGAGTTGTATATTTGTGATTAATGTATATTGTTTATATAATAATGTTTATTCATTATTATTATTGTTATTATTACAATATGCTCGTATGCTGCAGTATGATATGGTGTATCTTTATATATATTATTGGTTTATGTATTTAATTAAGTTATTTTTCTTGAAGAATTCTGGTTAAATTGAACTGTATTTCTAATTTCCTATTCTAGTAAATGGTTATGTAATAAGCATCAGCAATACAAATGTTGTCATATTTTTTATTTAATTACAGTAGAGACTCGCTAATCCGGACATCCGGATAATCTGAACAATTTATATTTCGTACTTAAGTACTCATTTATAATGTATATACATATACACATAAATATTATTTATATCAATGTCGATTGTATAGCTTAATTGCAGATACGTATATTTAGGTACCTCTATGAAATATCGTGAATACCCATGATTAAGATATTATCGTTGTGATTATATACTGTGATATTGTTTCGTTTAATGGTGATTGTGTACTCGTGTAGACCGTTACGTTTATTTTTTCTTCACTTATTTTAAAATCAACATAAAATGACGACTTCGGTCAAACGTAAGAAAATGACAGTAGCAATGGAACAAATACTCCAAGCTTTATTTCATATTGATGCTGGTGAATCGCTAACAAAAATCGCGTACGAGTTAGTAGTGGGTGAACAAACCGTTTCTGATCGGAAAAAAAAATCGAATAGAAATTGATAATTTTTGTGCGAAAATGGTGAGCGTGGAAGCTTAGGTAACAGACACACGTTAAGAAAACCAAACAACGAAGCTTTAGACAAGGCTTTGTACATTTAGGTTTGTCAACAATATGAACAATGTGAAAGGGCGTTCCGTTGTCGGGTGTAACGTTACAAGCTATCGCGATAAAATATAATGAAAAATTGAAAGGAGATCCGACTTTTACTGCTAGTATAGAATAGTTGTCTCGGTGAAAAAATTAACATGGCATTCGTGGATTTGGTGTAAGTGGTGATATTTTATTAGGTAACAATGTTATAAGTTAAGACTTTAAAATGAAATTTGAAAAGTTTGTTAACGATGAAGACTTAAGGCTTTGTCAAATATTTATTTCTGACGAAACTGGGTTGAATTACAAAATGAATAAAAAAAAAAAAAAGTTAGCCTCAAAACTAGATTCTGTAGTTAAAGAAAATGAAGTGAAAAATCAACGAATAACTTTACATCCTCGCAGTTAAGCTTCTGGTGATTTAAAATTTCCACTCTTGGTGATCGGAAAATCAGCTAAGCCTAGAGCTTTCAAAAACATTAATGTGAGTGCACTTTTAGCTCAATACACTTCACAAAAATCTGCTTGGATGAACGGAAACATTTAAAAAAAATGGTTTTTTGAGAAATTTGAGCCTACAACAAAGATATTTTTGAAATAGAAAAAACTTAACGCTTAAGACAACGTTCAGTGTCACCCTAGTGAAAATTAATTACAAGATGGTGTAATGTTTGTG